ACCATTCTATGATATGATTCCATGAAGGCATTAGTTTAAGAAGCAGCATCATTGGTAGTCCAGAAGTCAGGCTCCAGGAGACGTGGAGGGAAGTACTTAAAATGGCAGTGGTGGCACTAAGGCGCTCCTGGCAGTATCAGTATTGCTTAGAGCTTGAACAAAAACTGAACCTGCACTGCTGGAGTTTCCAGTAGGATGCAGAATGTTAATATTATCAGAGAACTGACTAGAAGTGCTTGTCTGGGCCAGTTCCCTGTTTGGTTGTGTGGTGTTTTTTTGTGGTTTGGTTTTCCCCCCCTCCCCCCAAATGTTTTTTCCTTTTTTTTTTTTTTCTTCTTTCAGGAAAAATATTACCAGGCCTTTTGAGGACCAAACGTCATTGGTAAGTGCAAACCACATCTTCTCTTACACAGCCTTAAAGTCACAAAGAACTTTATTGGAGCAACCACAGGAGAAGAAGGGTCAGCTGCCTAGGGTGTGAGGCAGTTGGTGAAACAACTCTGAAAATGTGCACAGAGGTTGGGAGTTTGGGGGTGTTGTATGAGGTAAAACTGTGTGTGAAGAAAGAAACACATACGCACTGGGCGCAAGTGCGCTACCTTGTCTGAAAGGGACTGTGAAAATAAAGGGGAAGCATGTCTAAGGAATTCTCTGTAAATGAAAACGGGGAGAAGAGGTAGCTAAGGATCCCTAATGATCATTTTTTTTAAAAAGTGAAGGCAGCCACTGGGTTGCTGAAGTTGAACAGTTGAGTTCAAGCATTTTTAATATTAGGAACAAAAAAGTCATTGCGGTTGCGGTGTAGATACACCAGCGTAGAAGGTTGCTTCATCTACTTTAATACCGATGCCGAGGTGTTGTAGGATGTGCTTCCCTTCTTGGCATGAAGCACGGTAACGCAGCCATCCCTAAAACATCGTGAGTGGAATGGCAAACTTACTGTAGGCAGCGGGGAAGGATTTGTGACGTTATTTGCTGAAACTAAAGCTCTTACAATCCATCCCATGGCTGGGTGACTTGACTTCACGGTCATACGGGAAGTAGCTGATCGTCAGCTGACCACTGGCTTAAACTTCTGATCATTTCTGGGAAAACGTGGCAGCTGAAATCCTTCTGATATTTTAAAAGGGGACCCTTCAGGGAACTTTACTTCTTGTAACCCCAGAACAATGGGGTTAGGTCATTGAGAACGGTGTCAACAAAGAATCGAAGACTGGAAGGGTGTGGGGAGTCAGATCAAGCTAGGGGTTGTGGCTTGGTTTTTTGGGATTTGGTTGCAGGCATCTTTTTAAAAGGGCAGTTTGGCAGCGTACGTGGTGTTGCAGTATACGCAGGACATGTTTGGGGCATTTCAGTTTCTTGTATCTTTTAAATAAAATATGATACAGCTGTTAGAGAATTTACATAATTATCAACACGCTGTGATTAACAGCTGCTTGAGCCCTCTGGTCTGTTCTAGAGCTGTCTGCAGTCAGGGTTTTCCAGGGCCCCGGTGGCAGAGCTCAGTGCCATGCTCTGTGATAGGTACGTGCAATTGAGCCAGGCCAGGAGGGCTCCTGGGGGTGTCTCTGCTGACCTCCCAGAAGGGCAGAGCTTCAGTCTCCTCTCTGAGCTGCTGCTGCAGGAGTGGGAGGAGCTGCGGCGGCTTTTTCTGCTTCACAGCTCGCCAAGTGTGGGTATAGAAACTCTGCTGCTTCTGGGAAGCACTGGATAAATAGCATGTGTGTATCTAGGAACTGAGGTCGATGCATGGAATGAGGGGCAGCCTTGAGAAGCAGCAGTGCATAAAAAGGCTTTGGAGTTGGACATCCTCAGAGAGAATTGCTGTGATGTTGGCTCTGGACATAATAACCATAACAGGTTCTCTGTCTACTCTGCCTGGAGAAAAGATCTGCTCTGTGACGGTCTTAAACCTACCGGCATGGGTTTAAGCAGCATCTGTCTTAAATAATAAATGGACGTAAGGATGCTCTGCGTTAATGGTTGGACCTGATGGTCTTGATGGTCTTTTCCAGCCTAAAAGATTCTTCGATTCCAGCAGGCCTCTCGTGCCCATGTGTGAGATCTTGAGGTATTTCCCGGCATTCATAGACTTGTTGCTGAGGGAATGAGTGAGCTGTTTGGAAGCCATGTGCTGCACAAAGCTTAGCTGGGTAACTGAAGCGAGGCATTACAGCTGCAGCTGACTTGGAGATACTCCTCAGGCAAGGAGAAGCGGTTGAATGCGTCTTCTGTACAAACAAATAATGAGGAGTTGTGAAAAAGGGCATTACGGATAAAACAGCAAGAAAAAATTGCCTGGCTGGATCTTTAAAGCTGCAGTAGGGAGTAAATAACGCCCGTGACACGTACCTTCACCAAATGTTTTAAACGCTACAAACTGGAACTCACGAGTTTTGTTCTTTTCCTCAATTGTAGGAATTTTTTTCCAAGAAATCCGATTGTTCTTTGTTTCTGTTTGGCTCTCATAACAAGAAGCGACCTAACAACCTGATAATAGGTAACGTCTCACTTGGGTTTGTGTTTGGACAAAAGGTCTAGCTTTCCATGGGTATTTAAATAGCTGGATTTTCCGGTTTTTACTTCCGCAGGTCGCATGTTTGACTATCACGTCCTCGACATGATTGAGCTGGGCGTTGAGAAGTTCGTATCCCTAAAAGACGTCAAGGTAAGGAATGGCTGACTCGGTATGTCAGTGACATCTACTGGTGGATTTTTTTCGTGCATTGGCTTTTTCGGTGCTTTGCAGCAAGGGCGGGAGTTCAAAAAGCATTTCATGCAGTACATGAGGCTTGCTAATTTGTGTGCCCCAGGACGTTATTTTTATGTTATTTTGGTTGTTTTGAGCAAGCTTGCGACTTTATTCCTAATTCTGGGTTCAGACCTGGTTTACTGCTAATATTTTCCTTTTTAATTAAGGAGTTACATTTACGGAATTCCTTAGTCTGGTTGTCTCATGGTAGGTCCCTATATAAACTGGTCTAGGCTTTGAAAACAGAAATCCCTCTTCCCAAGTTATAACCAAAGGGGTTTACTTCACTGACACATGATTCTGAAACTTTCATTAGCTTTCAGTAGCACGTGACATTAGATTCCCTGAAAACTGGCATTTCATTCAGTCAGGGAGCCAGCATCTTGATTATTTAAACCCAGAGAAAATTCGCCTTTTATGGCTCTGTTATTTTGACAAGACTAAAACCTACTTCACACGTGTGCACTTTTATATCAAGCAGTTCATACACTGCAAAAATAAGGAATTTCTCTTGTCCTTATTGTCTCACGGCATATAAATTGGCAGGACAGTCTAGAGGGATGGTGAAGAAATTACAGTTTATAAGGTCAGATTGTAGCGTGTATCTTCACAGGACTATTTATAGCAGGTAAGTTATAGTAAAATAAATGTATCTGTTGGCCAGGATCAGAATTAGGTGATTGACTAAACCATTCTTTTAGCCTTTTTCCTGTGCTCTGCGTTGTCAGAAGTAGAGTAGACTTGTTTGCCTCTAATTTTAGTTCTCTTGTTAGTAGTTGCAGGCCAATGCACTCATTTTGCCCAGAAGGTGTTACTTTATAGTCAAGAACGTCTCTTCTTTTTTTAACCCAGCACAAAGAATAATCCAGTTGGCCCTTTTAAAAACCAAGTCCTTGCATACCCAAGAGTGTTGCTCAATGAAAAGGGTGTCAGTTCTGTCCATATTGATCACAGGTCACGACAACCTTTCATTCGGTGGTGAATGCCCGACCGCCCGTTACATCAGCGATACGTTCCCTAACACGCACTCTCTTATTCCACAGAACAGTAAATGTCCGGAGGGAACAAAACCAATGCTGATATTTGCTGGTGACATCTTTGATGTAAGTGAAGAATACAGAAGACTGAAGAGCCTTCTCATTGGTCAGTATTTTGGTTATTTGAGCAGTAGGGTTGCGTAACTCTGTAGTAACACGATCTGTTGGGAAACACTGGTTTGTCGGTGTTTGCTTATGTTCAGTGCAGAGAGGAAACCAGAACAGGCACTTGTAAATTTTATTTCACCTGAAATTAACTTATCGTGAATGTTAGGGGGTAAAAGAACACCAGCCTAAAAGACTCTGAAGTTGAAACTGCATGTTCACTAAAATTCAGGATTTTGCATGTGGGAAAATGTCATATTTTTCCAAAGGTCCAACCCTTGTAATTGTAGTGGATCATCACTTCTCTAACCAGATAATATTTTTGAAGTACCTAGTGTAAAATCAGTGGATTCAGTTCAGAAAGTAGGGTATTATTTCTTACAAAAATGTCAAATCAGTATAAATGAGCTTGTGTTTTTATAATGAAAACGTTTTCTTTTGGAAAATTGACCAGATGTACCAACAGTGCCATTGATTGAAGTATGTGGAAACAACATGTGCAGTACAAGTCAGCTATAGATAATAGCTGAGTCATAACTTCAAGTCAGGCTTGGAGCTTCGTCAACAAACCAGCGTAACGTCTGGAGGTGGAGGGCTCTGGAAAATAAAGCACATTGTGGGTTTTTTCTGGGGAACTACAAAAAATGATTATACTTTGGGTGACTTTTTGGGACCTGAAAGTCATGTGGTACCATATCTCTTGATGCTTAAACAGTGTCTTGCTGGGTAGAACCAGATCTAGTAAGTGGGGTGGGTTTGGTTCTTTTTGATAGGTTTCCTAAAAGTAGGTTACTTTGGTTTTTAAGCTCTAGTAAAATACTGAAACTGGCCCAGTAAGAAGAGTCGTGTTCTTTCAGTTCCTTTCTTGGGTTGTACCAAATTCATCATCCTGCAGCTTTGCAAGACCTCCCCGTTCCTACAGAATAAATACTGGTTGGGCTTTTTTCCCCAGTCAAGCAGGCAAATGATTGCTCTTTAGAAACAGACCTTTAAAATGAGGTATTTTTTTAGTTTTGTAATTCCTTAAAGTAAGATGTTTCATCTGGAATGAGACTGAAAAGGGGAGCAGGAGCAGAGAACATTTGCATCCCCTCAGTACAGCTGATCGGTGCTTGGGGATAGAGGAAAGTAACAGCGCTTATAAACCTCTGAAGGTGGGTGAATATTGGCTCTGAAGAGAAGCGACTGTTACCGCGGCGTGTTTGCGCTGCCGGAAGCAGGCACGTTGTTTTCGCAAGAGTATCGCCTTCAGGCGTCTGCGCGGCGTTGGTGGTTGGCACCCAGATGCGCCCACGCACCCCCTGATCAGACAGCTTGGTGCCTTAGGTGGAAGGCATGCGTCCTGAGATGGCTGGCAAATGACTAACTAGTCTTCCCTGACGCGTTTCTTTGCCTTCAATGACTCCGCAGTCCAATGTGCTCAGGTCCACACCCGTTCTTCCTGAAAGTAGCCTGAGTACTCCAGGTCTTAATATTCTCCTGTTGCCTACGAAATACCTAGATGCGAAACAACAGACAAAAGAAAAGGTTAAGGAACGTAAAGGCCTGAAGGTGTCACTAACCAATTAAAATTGCTTGGGTAGTAATTTGACCTGCTTCAAAACTGCCCCTGACTGAGAGGGAAGCACCGATTCTTCCTGTTCCCGCAAAAGACAGTGCCTTTAAGCAGCCACTCTGGCTAAGCAAGAGAGAAAAGTATCTTTATAACAACAAACAGCAAGTATCTTGTTACTGTAGCACTGTTGTTGGTATCCCAGAGGGAATATTAGGTAGCTAACAGCTTCTTGTTGCCAAAGCAGCATGATGCTGGTGAACAACCAAGCTTTCCTTGGCTTTTGCGGTATCCAAAGGGTTTCTGCGTGTTTGGAACGTCTCTTTGTAAAATTAAAGGCAGGGGTGAATTATTGTCTTCATGGGAACCAAACCCTGTAGTCTGCTTAAATTGTGAAGTGCAAGAAGTTACTTAGGAGAAGTAAGTGGCAGCTGCATTTTTCTTCAGAGACCTGGAAGACTAAGACGTCCCGTTCTTTCTCTTTTGGTTTTCGTTGCCCACCGATGTGGTTGTGTAGGAATTCATTTGCGATATAAGTCTTGGGAAGGCAGTTGATGACATTCTAGTAGGTTTTTATGCTTGTGTTTATAAACTGTTCCATCTCTGACAGCACTGCCTGCTTGCTAATTCTGTTCTCACATACCCATTTCATCCAAAAAATGGCTAGGTGCTGCGTGACTTGCTTATATGCTTCCCAAAGTATGATCTGTGCCTTTCTTCTGGCCAAGTAAGGGGATGGATGGCTGGGAAATATCTGGGATAGAGTTTGAACTCTGCTAACCCGTAACTAGATGGGTTACAGTGTTACCAGCTTTTGGACATGAATTGAGACAAAAAGGAGTGTTATAGACTCGGGTTCCAAAATAATTTAGGAATTTAATCTGGAAATGGAAAAGTCTTGTGAAGGGCTCTGCAGGAAAAAGTACATTAGAAGCTCTGGAAACATGTTGAAGACAAGGGAGAGAAAGAACTAGGGATGGAAAGAAAGGAGAAAGCAAGTCTGTAGTCCAACCAAAGCAAGAGCTGTAAATTAAGCGTGCATTAAAAACTTCAACTCGTGGGTCATGCTGAAGGGTAAGGCTTCCACAGCTCTTGGGCACTGCCAGGGAACAGAAGCTCCTGACCGCCTGCGTTTGTTGGCAGGGATCATCCTGTGGGTGAAACGATGTATGGTGCCACAGGAAGATAGGGAAGTGAGGTGTTGCCAGTAAACTCACTGTCAGCGTAAGCTTGTGTGCCTGCAGAGAACTAGTCAAAGGGAAAACGTGTCAGAAGCAAACAAAATCTGGTATTTGCAACCTTAACTTCTCCACCAGAGGAGGAGAGTGAGTTAGTTAATTGACCAAGGAAATTTCCTGGCTAGACTCCAGCTGATATCTGCCAGCAGGACTTTGTTTTGGATGTCACCCCAGTGCTGATCCTCTTGAAAAAGGTAGCTGAGGAAAGACAACGAGCTCAGGGACCTGAAAATGGGACAGAACGGAAGAGGCTGATGTGTTTTGCATCTGTTAGCGGTTCTCCGATGTTTCGGTGTTGCCCTGTTGTGTTTATTAGCACACCTTGTTCCCTCAGTCAAGGTCGCGTTCTTTCTCCACCCTCTGCATCTGTTGGACAGATTGCTGTGCTTATTGCAGCCTCTCGGATCGCACAGGGTTTTTTTTTTGTGGCCTGCTGCAGGCACCTCGCTAGAGAACGGCTCGTTTTGGACTTAACCTGCGTTGCAGCGTTCTCTTTGCAATCCAAGCATGTATTTCTTAGGTTTGTAGTTATGTGTTGCTTATTAAATAGAGAAAACAGTAATTGTAGTGGCAAATACTGCTTTACTGGAAGGGCAGGAGGGCTTTGGTGTGGGGGAGGTATGATGGAAGCAGTATGTCTGAACATTTTCCCCAGGTCAGTGAAAGAGTATGTAGGTAAGAGTAGAGAAGATACCATTTACACTGTTTTTGATCCTTCTTGGTATCCTTCCAAATCTGTCTCCGATTTAAGGTTCTTAAGCTTGAATGATGGCTTTAAACCGACATCTGAACTGATCTGTGTTTAGCTGAGCATGAACTGGCCTAAACACTAAGATACATATTGTTTTTTCTGACTTTAGAGCTGAATATTTAGAATAGACAATGCAGTTGTCCCAGGTAGCACCATAAAACTAAGTTACTGCTCTGAAAGTACATTTGCTCTTCTCCCTGAACTTATTTCTAGGTAGCATGTGTATTGCTACCAAGTTATCTCTGGGAAGGCACTGTGTTCCTGCCGCGGTTTCTGCACCCAAGTTTGGTTTCACCGGTGCAGGAGCCAACGCACCTAAAGTTAAGTTTCTCTCTCTTGTTCCGGCAGGGCTGCGGTGAGGATTCCCATTAAACATACCAGTCTGGCTTTCCTAGAGCCATCCTGGGTGTAACCTTGCGTGGTTAGTTGCAACAAAAATAGCTGCATAGGCAAGGAGCTCGTGTCCCTGCTGCGATGCGGCTCCGTTAGGAAATAAACCAATTTGCATAGAGTCACCTGTTGGTTTTATTTATTTATTTATTTTTGCCAGGAAGAGTGGCACTTACTCTTTCCAAATATTCTTTCAGATTTCTTCAGAGGTCCTAGTGTGCCCAGTATCCGTCTGGCGGGGTTAGAGTACGTTCTGCATTTCACAGCTGCAGATGGGAAAATCTACCTGCGGAGCTATAAGTGAGTACGTGTGCTAACTACCTGTTGGCTTTTTGGAGCACCTGTCAGCTTTTCCCCAGAGTTCAAGGAGAGACCATGTGCGCGCAGATACACCAGCCTTGGAGTCACACGCTGGCCGAGTCTTTCCGGTCTCTGTTCGCAGCGGGCAACTCC